CAAAGAACAAGTACCGAACTTGTAAAATTACCTGATGCTCCTCAAGTGAAGATAGAAATGATAATCAATATCACTCCTGATGAGACCAAATCATTTAGGTAAAATTTATTTATTTATAATAGATGTTTTTAATAATAGAAGGTGCAAGTAGTAGTACAGGAAGAGCAGGAGGTATTTGAGAGATAGGAGGATCTCTTACAAATTTTATCTAATGTAAATTAGATTAATATTATTGATGATGATGACTCATCATCAATATTCAAGAAACTCTTAGATATGCTCAAGAAGGAGTAAATCAAAGACTGTGTGGCATATCTCTAATCATTTAAATATTAAGATCAAAAGGAGAAGGAGTAAATTAAGAAGATAATACATATTCTGAAGAACATAAAAGACCGTGAATTCAATTAGAAAGACTATTCCTCAGAACCACTTGAAGAGATTAAAAAGGATCTGATTAAAAAGTTGTAAGGTAATAAGAGCATGATTGAGTTACTAAAATTTTTAATCATGCTTACAAGTATAGATGATCAATTCATCTCCTGTGGATCCAATTCACTTCATATGCTGGTAATGATGAAGGTAGATGTCAGAAACCAATCCTTTGAGAATATACGGATGAAGAATACATCTTTGATTAGTGGTAATTTTGTAAGATGTAATTTGAATGGATCAGAATTTGAGAATGTGGATATTAGCGGTGTCAATTTTAATGGTGCTTAGATGTTCAATTGTTAATGGAAGAACATAAAAGTCCATGAATTGAATAGGTTGGATGGCCATAGTAATTGTGTTAGATCAGTCTGTTTCTCTCCAGATAGAAATACATTAGCTTCTGGTAGTTATGATTACTCTATCCGTCTATGGGATGTCAAAACAGGATAATAAAAAGCCAAATTAGATGGTCATACTAGTACTGTCTACTCAGTCTGTTCTCTCCTGATGGAAATACATTAGCTTCTGGTAGTAGTGATAAGTCTATCTGTCTTTGGGATGTCAAAACAGGATAAGAAATTAAATCCTCTGACAAAAACTACAAAGATATTTTTACCTAATTTAAGATTCCACTCCAATAACATAGACATATTTTCGAAAGAAGTATTTATCCCCTATTATATTTTTAGCCTCCGATTATATCACTAAAAACCTTATATCCTAATAGGCAATATTTTAAGCATAAGGAGCACTAATTTTGAAAGGAGAGTTATTTAATCAATCAATTTAAAGACATTGTTTAAATAACAAGGTGGTTGCTTTTTAGAAGACTTTAAGTAAAAGTGATTTTTCATTAACAATATTACAATTATAATTACAATCATTATCGAATATTTTTTTTAATTCTGTCTTTATTAGTTTCACTCTTAATCTTCACTAGGTAAGTTCTTATTTATCAAAGCTTTTTTTATTTAAGTCATTTATACAATTCATTTATTTTTATATTATTCAAATATAAGATCAATTAAGCGTAGGGATTCTCATAAACAATGTTATAAGTTTTTATGATAGAAATTTAAATTTAAATGATGCTACTTTTAATTAATTATTTAAACAGAGAACAGTAGATGAAGAGTTTAAAATAAAGATCGAAATAATAACTTAAAGAAAACAAATTTAACACAAATTCTTTTATATATCATATAGGATATTATATAATAGATTTACTTAATTTATTACTGTTTAAAGTAGGATTAATCTTAAACATTTAGCTGAAAGATTAGACAAAAAAAATTAATGAATAGATCAAAGAAATCAATTTTAGCAAAAATTAAAATATTCATA